CTATGGTCATCAAATTTAATTACTGATGTGCTGATTTGGTTCTCCTAATAGACATGTGGCTTTTATGGGTGATCGATTGGCACGTGCAACGGGATCAATTCAGGACCGGTTCGACCGTCTGGTCGTTGTGTAACGTTGGCTTGACATTGATCAAAATTTGTGGCAATTACGTGGAATCTTTCTTTGGTTTTTTTTTCGACTTTGAAGGCCTTGGAACAAGTTTTTCCCAGGGGAAAAGAAAACGCAAAAAGGTTTTGGAATGGTTTTCTATCACCCCAAAAAGCCGATGTCTACGAACGCCCGTATGGGCTTGACTTTCAGGAAGCGCGATTTTTTATGGGATGATAAGAGACCACTCCGAAATTGTTAGCGGCATTGGAGCGTTCCTGAATACCCAAATGTGATTTGGAAATTCTACGGACGGTTTTATAAGACATAAATTTGCGTCTAGCAGATCATTTGTCCTAGAGGTGCTTGTCGCTCTGGGTATCTATTTCGATCCCCCGAGGGTGCTGCTCTTGCCCTGCCCCTGGCTTTTTGACTAGGTTTTTTGCTGATAGAAGAGCTGCCGTACCTGTACGAGGTACTCGCCACCTCCTCCAAGTCGTGGACTTGCAGAGACCACGTCGTACTTCTCCCACATAACTTGATCACTCTCAAACACGTGAAGATTGGAAAGAATCCATTTTTCAGCAAGGAGGAATGATTTTTGTTGCATCCTGAAATGGTTGAGTCTCAAGAAATGGCTGCTATGAGAAAAGATCGTAAAAAATGTTACCTAGGGTCATCGGATTTTCGCAAGCCTTCTATAATCATGTGGTTCAAAGGGCTCCATCCGTTAGGGAAGTCCCATTGTTGTTTACTTTGTAATTGCAAACTGAAATATTTGTTTGAAATTCGTGAACACTTTCCTACAAAATCTGGGAACCCTTATAGCCCTGCTGGTCAGCTCAGAGGGCTGAAGTAAAGCAGCATGGACCAAGGCTAGTTTCCTAAGGTGTATTAGGTTGTTGGAATAGTTACAAAATCTTGTCTTTTCCTGATAGTCTTCTAGGGTCTTTCTCATTACGTTGAAGTATTCCTGTGGATGTATCTCGCTTTCCTTCACCTTTATCCCCTTTTGCTAGTCTCTTTGTGCTGATAATTGTTCAGACAGCTGCACGGCGTTGGGTACATGCATATAACACTAAGTCCATGTCCACAACTGTGGACCAATTTCAGAGTGTCTGTTATATTTCATTTTTCGTAGAACTCCTGGCTTCATTCACTAGTTCATCAGGAATTTGTCAAGTGGGGATTGCCAGACAGAAGTTTCTCAATGTTGAAAGCTCGGCGTAAACAGACCGAACAATGACAACACCAGAAAACAAAAAGCAAAATGTGCAACGGAGAGCGCATTCAAATGCTTTACAGCGGGCTTTTGAACCCCTTTTTGGTGTCAGCTTGCCGACGATACTGGTGAGCTGACATGGCGATCGGAGCTCAGCGAGGGGTCAAGGCTTGCTGCTCTAGCACAGTAGACTTACGCAAGCCCTTACCCCACAGTTCTAGGTTTCCCATCATTAATGCGTCTTCAGTCTATAATTTGTCACGAACTTTAATGCACTTACCTTGTCGGCGCATTCTCCGAACGTAGTCTGAACACACCCGAATTTCTTCCGATTTTTTGTCAATAAATCATACGCTTTTTGACAAGCTGCAGGGGTTGCGTAATTGTCAGTGAATCAGGAGGAACAGGCAATCGATGCATAGAAATCCGGTGTTGTTGTTAGTTTTTGACGTGAGAGTTGTAGTCATACCAGCCTTTGGGCTTCTTCACATAAAAGATCTTTTCGAAATAATCTCCACGGAATTTGATATATTGTGCAGTCCAAGACGAGCTCTTATGCTCATTTCCTGAAATGTTTTCCTTTAAGGAAATTTTGCCCAAAAAAAGAAATTTTAATGGTCATGATGTGAAAATCAAAAGTGCGTACCGACTTCAGCGTGTAAAGCTCCTAGAATGTGTAAATTGTAACAGATGAAAGCGTTGAGATCAACTGGGACCACGTTAGTGGTTTCAATGGAGTTGAGCGAGACTTTATCGGCGAACCAACGAATAGAGAAATCCCATCCGGATTCGGCTCCGCTGGCTATATCCTGGTAGAATTGAAGTTTAGCGTCTGGATCGGTTATATTTGCAGCGGCTGAGGCGTCTTCGCGATAGGATTCTGGTCTGAAATGGTGGGATTCGGGTGATTTTGGGAACTCTTGGTAAACGAACAAATTCGGCTGTAATTGTATTGAAATAAGTCTGGGAATGTGCCCCTACAGGAGTAGGAAGTCCAAAGACCTGGATACATGACTCTCTTTGTCTGGTGGCATTGTTCCCCGGCCCTATCGCAAGATACGGGGGCATTGTGGTGGCGGTGCATTCGGAATCGTACAAAACATCTCTTTCTGTTGAAAATTGGACTAAGCCTCAGAGGGAGCAGAGATTCTAAAGTGCATGAGATGTGTCAGTAATTTCCATCTCTTAAGAAGTTCTACCCTTCCTAGCCATAGCCCTCAGGATGGCCCCGGGTTCTCATGTCCTTGGGGGGATCCAAGTGAGTGAGCCAATTACTGTGCTTGGGACTAAGCCTAGGGAGGGGAAAGGATCCTGGGGGAGCATGTGAACAATTTGTGTTCTCCCTGGCGTTTCTCCTATTTGCTGGCTTAGTCCTAATCTCGGCCCTGTTTTGGATGTCCCCCCTCCCCCCACAAGTACATGAACGCCTGTTCCCGTATTTTGCGATAGCGCTTGCCCCCGTATTTTGCGGTAGCGATTGTCTCCCTATTTCGAAATAATCTCACCTTGGCACCGTGGAAGGAGTCCTGTACTGATACATCGTGATGGTTTCTCCGTCGACTCCAAGAGATACTGTGCGATTTTTTTGCCAGAATTGAATTTCTTTCTCCATAATGGGAAGCATTGTACGAAGGAATTCTTTGTCTCTTGTAGCCAAGTAATATTCATAGACCATTGGTATAAATAGCGGTGGCTGTGATCGTCGTAGATAGTAAACTCGACCACCATTCGGGATAAATCCATAGGTATCAACGATGTAGGCGAAATTGTCAATCATACTTTTTGTGGTGTCCGTCATTCCTGACGCGAGTAAACCCTTCACGATCCAGTAAGCATCCCAGTAGTAGAATTCGCGAAATCGTCCTCCAGGTACAACAAAGCGATGAGGGACGTATAGAAGTGAAAATCGCTCGGGAGAATCCTTGACAGCGGGCTTCATCTCGCGACAAAGTTCCTTCCAGATTGCGTTCAAATTCAAAGCGAACAATCGCAGGTTATTGTCCTTGATCGTTTTGAAACTTGCCGGATACCTGGTCCAGTCGGAGAGGGTGCAGCTGAAATAGTGTTTTGATTAGTACCAATACGCTAATTGAAGTACTACATTCCATGGGTGTCCCCCAAGAGGCCCGTCGCGCGGCGAAGGAAGAGACGCAGACGCGGCAAAGGACGAGTCGCAGCGCATACTGTAGCGGTTAGGCGTCAGGTTAAATAGAGTGTCATATCGCACAGCACGCGCTGCGACTCGTCCTTTGCCGCATCTGCGTCTCTTCCTTCGCCGCGCGACGGGCCTCTTGGGGGACACCCCATTTCCATTTGATGAAGTCCTACCTACGAAGCTCTTGTCCTTCCTTGTCGAAGTTCTCGTCGACAAATCTCTTCACGTCGTCTTTTGAGATCTGTGAAACAGGCTGCGGAAACTGCCGCTCGAAATCGCTGATTATTTGACTCCCGGTTCGTCCCTCCTTCATTGGTTGATCGACGAACGTTTTTGAGTCGTTGTAGAGCTTGGTGGCCATCACAGCTTGCAGCAATTTACCACTACAGTACACCATATAGCGACCAGGAGCATTGTACTGGTCGCACGTTTGGATAACCTCCTTCCTCTCTTTTCGCCCTAACCATTTTATTTCTCGCGATTCTCTCGACGCTGGTGCGATAACCTGAAAGATTTTTCAGTTGTATTCAAATCACGGTTCATTTTTTCCAGTACTGATTACTTTTTGAAAAAAATCTTCTTTTGTTTTCTAACGGGATGTGGGGCGGTTACCGGCTAGAATAGGTAATGGGAATGGGTAAAAGCGAGGCATTCAGTACCCAGAAGGGGTTTTCACTCGGCAGT